TGGACGCCATCTTCCGTCAGGAGCAAGAGGAGGAGGAGGAGGAGGAGGAGGAGGAGGAGGAGGAGGAGGAGAAGATGATGGAGCTGCGGGGTGGAGGAGGACAGACGGAGGCAAGAGAAGGATGGAGGAGGAGGAGGAGGAGGAGGAGGAGGAGGAGGAGGAGGAGGAGGAGGAGAAACCTCATCACCCTCGCCAACAAGCGCACGCACCTTCTTCTATATACAGAAACTCCCGATCAACCGCAGAGCGGCCGGCTAGTAAGAATAATAATAATAACGGTAGGCACGCTAGAGTTACTCGAACAACGCACGTTGGCTTTGTTTAATCAGGATCTACACGCGTATAATTTGTTCTCCACGGAATTCCGGAAAAGCAAGAAACGAGACAGCCGGGAATCTATAATTGAGGCCTTGAGCAAGGACCTCGACACTCGGGACGTGTGGTTGGGCATTCGACAGCTCAAGAAAGGCTACGTAGCAAAGCCGTACAATTTCAAGACAGCGCAAAGCAAACATTTACCAAAATGCAAAATGGCAGAAGAGGCCGCCAAACAATTGGCCACCAGCAAGCGGTTGAGGCCCCCCCGGGCTCGACTCGGTCACGCTCCAAGATAGTGCAACCTATGCTACCCTACAATACTGGAGACATCGCCTTGGCCGAGGCGCGCGCGGTGTTGAAGAAGTGCAAACGACGCAAGGCCCCTGGGCCGGACAACGTCCCAATGGAGGCCCTAAAAGAATTGGACGATGTGAACCTGTCCAAACTTGTAGAATTGCTAAACGAGTGGTGGCGCTCGGAAGCAGTACCCGCCGACGTGGCCAAAGCCCGTGTCGCGCTTATCTTTAAGAAGGGGGACGCCAGCAAACTGGACAACGACAGGCCGATATCATTACTCAACAGCGTCTATAAACTCTATGCCGCAATACTACAGAAACGCATCGAAGAATGCGTCGACCCGTATGTTCAAACCACGCAGTACGGCTTCCGACGGCGAGAGAGCACCATGCACGCCGTTCAATGCGTGCGACGATTCGCCGAGATGGGCGAAGCGGCAGACCAGCAGGTGCTGATGGTTTTGCTCGATTGGGAAAAAGCGTTCGATAAAGTAACATTAGAGAGTCTGTGGAACGCAATGGATCGCATGAATGTGCACCCCAAGCTGATAAAAGCGGTGCAAAGCATCTACCGCGTCACACAGTTTAAGGTCGAAATGGAAGGAGCGGAATCGGCCTGGTACGAACAACAGGCTGGTATAAGACAAGGTTGCCCTTTGTCGCCGTACCTCTTCTTGTTGGTCATGACCGCTCTCTTCCATGATGTACAGAACAACGTGGACCGTCAGCTCGGCCCGCATCGTCTGCCAGGAGTGAGTTTTGACGCTGTTTTGTACGCCGATGATACCATCTGCATATCGCAAAGCACAACAGCCATGAATGCGTTGTTAAAGTCAATCGAAGAAGAAAGTGCCAAGTATGGTCTTCGACTCAACAAAACCAAGTGCGAAGTAATCCACACCGGGCATTTCCGCCCAAACATCCACTTCGCAAGCGGGCATCCCGTTGAAGTAAAAGCAGAAGTCAAGTACCTGGGATGCATGCTTAATAACAAGAGCGACACCACCAAAGAAGTCAATGCCCGCATCTCTCAAGTCCTCGCTACCATGAAAAAGCTCAACACTTTCTGGTTGCACAGCGATTGTCCCACTCGTTTCAAAGTTCTCGCTCTCGACGCGACAATCCGGTCTAAGCTCCTGTACGGACTGGCCACAGCACAGCTCACTCAAGCAACGATCAAACGGATCGACACGGTGCAGCTGAAAAGACTCCGTAACATTTTGCGCATGACAACAACATACGTCAACCGAGCAAAGACGAATGCCCTCGTGTTCGAACGGGCGAACCAGAGTATCCAAGCCGCAGGAGCAACCAAACCAGTGACTCCTTTCAGTCACATGTACCGCCAACAAAAGCTGAAACTGTATCAACACCTCCTGAACGCCGAGCCCTCGGACCCAGTCCGGCAAGCAACCATGAGAGCTGACACGTTAGAGTTTTTACGGTTCGAGAAAAACCGGGTGGGGCGACCACGGTTGAAATGGACTAAAGAAACCGCTGAGGAATATTGGAAAGCGACAGCCGCACACCGACCTCCTGCCCTCCGGAACGTTGCTCTAAATCTTTCTCTCGCCACACATCGTGAAGCCATGTTGGAAGTCGCTCAAACATTGCCCATATAACATTACGAATGACCGTCAGACCGGTGCAATCCCTGGATTCTCCCTTCCCTCCCCTTCCCCTCCCCTTCCTCTCTCCCCCCCCTCCTCCCCCTCCCCCTCAGCCCGGCATGTTCGGCGCAGCGTGCGCGCCGCACGTCGCCTCGAGGCGCGGTGCGGCCAGGGAGGCCCCGAGGCCCCGCCGGGGGCATGGGACGAGGAAAATTATTATTATTAGTATTAGTAATATTATTATTACGGTTCCCGCCTGATGCCTCCTCAAAATGTTTTCAAAATTGCATTCCCGCGCGGGTTTCCTCAAACATTACATATGAATCGCGCTTTCGCCTGGGATTTTTCGCAATTGCTTAAATTCATTCAGACGCCATGCCCTCGATACACAGGAATCACGCTCTTGATATGGCCTTTCTCGCGATTTACTTGGGAATTTCGCGATCGCTCGAAACATCCTCGCGACGCATGCAGGCCTGACGCTTCAGCATCCCGCCTGCTCGACCTGGCCGCCTGGGCCCGCCTTCCCGACCCGCCCAATCGGGACTACCCGCCCGATCTGCCCGTGTAGTTCTGCCACGTGGTCTATTTTGTTAACCCGACTCCGGCTAATTTCTCTGGTGTTCCATCCTTCTCCCTCCCCCTGTCCATCCATCCTCCCTTCCCCTGTTTCCGGGGCTGCGCTGAATGCGCGTGGCAGGTAAGGAAGATATGCCCCCAAGGGGTACGATCGAAGACGACGAGAACGGGTACCGAGGGATTGGGATACAGGTGTTGGATGGCACGCGAGCAGATAGGAGCGAACAGTCTGAAAATGATTGTGGGTTTTGCTGTTGTTGCAAACTGTTGTGTTTCGTTGTTGATGCAAGTCCGCGGGCGCCAAGTTCTCCAACACAGTCAGGCGCCGGTCAGCAAGCAGTGGGGCGCACCGGAAGCGAATTGAGGCACGGAAGCGAAAGGGAAAAGAGCACGAGGAGAGACTAGAAAGAGCCTGCTCAGACCATGAAAGCTGGCGGGGTGTCGCGACAGTAGAACTTGCATGCGCTGTTGAGAAACACCCGCCCTGGGCTTAGGTCGGGCATGTCCTCCGACAGGCGGATTTGGGGAGAAAGCAACAAATTGGCAACAAATATTCACACATTGTCACAGCATGATCGAAAAGTAATCGAAAAGTCTCCCCCGGACTATTTTCTAACCGCTCTGACATATTCCTCCTGTCAAGCGACATGCCCGACTTAACCGTCGTAGAACCTGCCTGCGCTGTTGAGAAGCACCCGCCCGGGGGCCATCAGCACAAGTGTTGCCCGAGACGGCCAAGAGACGGCGCGGCCCAGCGAGCGCCGCGGCCAGCAGCGGACGGGCGCAGGGGAAGGGAACGATCAGAGAGCCAACCCGAACTCCCTCGTACTGTGAAAAAATCGCGACGGGAGGTTTTTGACAATGTTCGGCCTCCCAGGGCCCTCGCGAGGCCCCGGGACCGTAAACAAAACTGCTCAGGACGAAGAACTGGTCCCGGGGAAGGGGTCAAGACCTCTGGGGGTCGACGTTGCCCCAAAAAACACGACGTCGGGGGTCTGGGACCCTACCATCGACGGCGAGCGAGAGCGATGGGGTCCACATCCTCGTAGCAGTCGAAGTGCTCCAGGTCAGCTTCCCGTGGGCATGCTTCGGGCTACCCCTGCAGACGCGGGATTGTGCTATAGTCTGTGCGGCAATGAAACACAAGTCATAGTCCGGCTGCGAGGTCAAGGCCAGCGCCCTGCTCTCAGCGAGGGTGCCCGCAGCACGGGCCGGCGTAAACAGCTTCGCATCCGACCGCATCGCAGACACGGAGCCAGCATGGGCCTGTTCGCTTCGACATCCGCCATGCGCCGCTGGTTCCTCCCAGCAACCACCCCTGACACGGTGCGCTCGAAGCAGCGGCGATCGCGAACGTCGATCAAGAGGAGACTCAACGAGCTGCCAGCGGGTCGGCGGCAGCCACATGACCGGCGTGAGCAGGAGCCTGCAGCGATGGGCGACGTTGCGCACTGCCAGCCTGCGGACATCGCGTACTGCCTGGCCCTGTAAACAGGCTGAGCGTCGGCAGCTCACGCTGCGCACGAACGCCCAAAAGTGGCAGGGCGAGCGACGTGCTTTGGTACTGGATAGATTTGGGAAATAATGTCGAACGTGTACTTCGGTCGATCGGGCAAAAGTTTTGGCAGAACCCTGAACGCGAGAACCCAGCTCAGCCGAATTCTGGAAGAGTTATTACAGGGATCATACAATTAGGTCGCGGAACTTACTAAGGGAAGGTCGCTGAAGCTTCACTCAGGGTGACGGCACAACAAAACGCTATGGCGTATAACTTGAAGTGTTGCGACACTGATTGCGCAAGATGAGAAGAAGGGATACATTGAGAAAGGGGACAAGGGAGAGGAGGATCTACGAGAAGGGTGGACATCGGAATAGGTACACATGAACTACAGGGAGAGAGACAGAAAGTGAGGGAAAGAGTAAACGAAAGAGAAGGAGACAGAGGGAGAGGGCTAGAAACATGCCCGTACCTCCGATGCAATCTTTTTGTAACGACGCGGGCGATCGGAATTCTGGAAAGTACGTTCCCGGGGCATGGTTTCGTTACGGGTTGTGCGTCGCCGCCCTGGGGCCCGACAGCGGCTCCAAGAGGCCGACGACTATCGAGGAATCTCGCCCGTCGCGCTGCATCCATCAACGCCCGCAGGTCTGGGGGAGGAGGCGGTGGAGAGGCCAGGCGGCAAGCAAGGCCCACGGCCTGCTTCCACTCTCCCCATCGGCAGGCCCTGATCGACCAGGTCGCCGAAGAAGGTCCACGCGTCGTTGTCGCTGTCGAGGTCCTGGCTGTAACTGCCGCCCACGAAGGCCTGAAAGAGGATCTGGAGCAGCAAGAAAACGCAAGAAGGAAGGAGGAGAAGGGGGATAAGGAGAAAAAGAAGGGAACAAAAAAGGGTAAAGCGAAGGGGGAGAAGGGGGAGACGGAAAGAAAAAGATGACGGCAGGAGGAGAGGGAGAAAAAAACAGGAAGCAGGCCTCTGGACGAGCCTCTCGCCTGAGATGACACCGCAGACTGGGAAAGAAAGAGGAACGAGGGGGGAGGAGGGGGGAGGGGGAAGAGGGAGGAGTGAGAGGAGGGAGGAGGAGAAGGCTCCTCCTCCTCCTCCTCCTCCTCCTCCTCCTCCTCCTCCTCCTCCTCCTCCCCCTCCCCCTCCCCATCCTCCTCCTCCTCCTCCTCCTGGAGGACCAATGAAAACCCAAGACGCGTCAACGATATTGCAATAAGCCATCTCTCTTCAGAAGCCCCTCGAAGAAATGACGCTCTCACTGCGAGAGATGGCCCATTACAAGATGACTGCCTGAGAACCCCCAACCGTGCCGAGACACAGTGCCGGGGACTTCGACGCCGCGGATCAAAGTTATGTTGCGCCCTGACACTCCACATCCGTGCCAGAACACCACTCCTGGGATTCAACACGGCGAATCAACGTTACCGCTGCGGCACGACAGCAATAAACCGTGCCAGAAAATCATTGCTGCGACTTCCGACCATACGAATCTTTAAGACTGTCGAACAGTTGTAAGACGAATGTGCGCGCCGCTCAGACGAGAGCAACATGTTGAGAAGGAGCCACCCTCCATCTCTGAGACGACCGCAAGTTATTAAGACGAAGGCACGCGGCGCTGATGCGAGAGCAATTTTTTGAAACAACCCGTCCTCCGTCCGCGAAACTGGTGAATGATTTGAAAGCGAATGTGCGCGGCGCTGAGACGATAACCACATTTCGAGAGCCATCCGATTTCGATCCGTGAAACGAATGCACACCTTTGAGACGAATGCGCCTGGCGCTATAGCGATAGCTACATTTACGACACCACCCGCCAGTCACTCGCGATGCTGTTGCAAATTCAAGATCAAGGAGAATACATGGCGGGGAAGTCTCAAGCAACACGCCTGGTCCGCCATACCGACACATCTGGGGGTGCGACGGGGAGGGATTATGTACAAGGAAAAGCGATAGAGGAGGATGAGGAGGAAGTGTCCACTGGGTTGCGGCGGCTTTCGGGAATCTCTAGAGTATGATGCTGCCCACTGCCTCGATGCTGTCACCATCCTCACCCAGGGATATGTTGAAGAAGTACTCTAGCGGGCTGAAGTTACCGCGCAGAAGCTCGCACAGGAGGCCGTCTGCTTTCGACAACCCCCAGCTCACGACGGCGCCGCCGACGTCTCCTTCGCCCCCGAGGAAGTCAGACGTGCTCACGCCAGGTACGTCGATGGGCACCTCCATTCCGAGCAGATCGATGTCCCCTTGCAAGCTGAAGCTGCCCGATCCACTGGTTGCGTTTAGAGATAGAAAGAACACGGTTTCTTCTTCGTCCTCGGGCGGGCTACAACCACGCTCACACCGCCTCCTGCACTCTTCCCGTCTCCTTGATCCCCCTATACCTTCCACGATCCTGCACCTCCTGGTGCTCAGCCTCCTCCACCTCCACAGCACCATTCTACCATCATCCTGTATCCCACCCTTCTGTTCAACATGTGTTTCCTCCCTCTCCTCCTCTCTCCTCCTCCGCCTCTGCCTCCGACTCATCAAATTCGCCAGTCCCCATCCTCCTCCAGCATTCCCTGATCCTCCTCCTGCCCCTTCGTCAGCGACCTCCCGCCTCGAACTCGCCCTCCTCCTCCCCCTCCTCTTTCTCCTCCTCCTCTTACTCTTTCTACACCTCCTCCCGTTCATTCCCCCCCTCACCCTTCTCTGGCTCACCACCACCCTCCACCGCGTCTTCGACATTATCATTATAATTCCCGAGTGGCTTATTATATCCCTCGTCTTTCGATTCTGTATATATATATAAATATCGTTATCTATATCACTCTCTCTTTACTTCCTTCTCTCTCTCTCTCTATCTATCTCTGTCTCTGTCTCTCTCTCTCTCTCTCCCACTCTGCCTCTCACCAACATCGTCATTATCCCAACCACTACCCGTATCGTCTACATGTTCACCCCTCCTGGTCTCCTGTGTCACCTCACACTCCGCCTGTTTCTGCATATTTCCCACCATCATCGGCATCGTGATGTTCATCATCACCTCTCTCTCTCTCTCGAAGTCTCTCTCTCTCTCTATTTCTCCCTTTCTCTCCATGCTGCGTACATCTACGAGGGCCAGGGAGACGGGAGCCCATCACCAGGAAGCGGGAAACACACCTGGCTGGACGCACATGCGGAACATCCAGAAGTTACGCGATGGGTGCACACGCGGACTCCGTGCGTCCAAGCTGACCGCGTCATTAGAGGCCTCCTAGATGGGGTCGGAGGATCGCGCCGCATCGCCGATGCATCGACGATGCGGCTCGATGCGGAACCCGATTTTCTTCACGCGGTCGTCGCCGATGCATCGCCGACGTCGCCGATGCATCGCCGATGCATCCCCGATGCATCGCCGATGTATCTCTGATGCGGCGCGATCCTCCGACCTAGGGGCACGATAAGGCGTCATATGGCAACGCCCATGTTGAAGCGTTGCCAACTTGCGGCAGTCACACATCCGTGCTGGCAGGCATGCTGTGCGACCTCTCACGAAGGGCCCTTGGGGGAGCCCACAGGAGCCCCACGGGGCTGGTGCGACCCCGTGTTGGCCCCGCGACCCAACGGGGCTGTGTGACCCCGTGTCGTTCATAACAACCGCTCCAACTGATGGGCCAATCTTCCACCACTGCTACGATAGGAAGGACGGGTAAGAGGGAGGAAGGGGAGCTGCTACTCCTCCTCCTCCTCCTTCTCCTCATCCTCCTCCTCCTATTCCTCCTCCTCCTCCTCCTCCGCCTCCTCCTCTCCCTGTCCTCCCTTTGGTAGCGGTGGTGGAGAATCGGCCCGTCACCGACAGAGCCCTTGGTGACGCGAACATACAAGAACGCGTGCCCCCAGCCCATAGACACCGCACGGCACGGCCTAGCTGTGTGCTCCGCCGCGTGCCCAGGGCGTCGATCCGACAGGCTGCACGCATGGCAATCAGCTGGGCCATGCAGGGGAGAACTTTAGAATGAGCCAAGGAGCCATGAAGGCGTTCTTGTTTGGCGACAGCGGCCGTTATCGGCCCCTGCCGCCCCCCCCTCCCCTCGCGACTCGTGCTGACCTGCTACTTGTCTAAGGTTACCCCTCGACATTCCCAGACGGCGCCGGCGCGAAGCGTGAGGTTACATACCCCCTCCTCCCCCCGGTAACGCCCGTGATTGCCCGGGGATACAAAGACGCTCTCCAGGGAAATCAGCGAGCTCGTCACAGCGAGCTCGAGAAGCCCTCGGGGGAAGAATCGACCGCAGGCTGAAAGACAGCGACCCGCTCTCACCCATGGGGCCCCTCCGAGTTGCAGCCGTTGCAGCCGCATTGATTGTTCTGGGCTTCGGTCCAAGCGCTCCAAGGGCTTCGAGCGGGGCCGCGGCGGACCTCGTGCCCGAAGACACGCTCCGCGTCCGCACGCGCGATAGCACTGCCAACACAGAGGCCTCCTAGATGCAGTCGGAGTAGATGGGGTCGGAGGATCGCGCCCCATCGGCGATACATCGGCGATGCATCGGCGATGCATCGGCGATGCGTCGGCGATGCACCAGCGATGCATCGGCGACGTCGGCGATGCATCGGCGACGACCGCGTGAGCGGCGATGCTCCGTATCGAGCCGCATCGGGGATGCATCAGCGATGCGGCGCGATCCTCCGACCCCATCTACTCCGACCGCATCTGAGAGGCGTAGACAACAACAGCCACAGATCAAATAGGCGTAGAATTGGTGATAAATCGGCGTCAGATCGGTGACAGCAGGCCCCCGATGAGGAGTCCACATGTTCCTGGGCGGGGTTGGCCTGCAGGCCCCCATCGGCGAAGAGGGGTGACTTGGGGGCGATGCTTTCCCCCTTGAGCCCATGCCCCCCGAGCGTTGCCCCTGACAGCCAGGTCCCGCCGCCAAGGGATCCCACCCGGCGGAACCTGGCTGGCCTGGGGGGCGAGGAGGGGGCGCCGGAGGCGGGTAGTCTGATTATCCCTGTGCTCCAAAAGGGGGCGAGGAACCATCCGCACCCCCGCATGCCGCCACTGTTCGGCCTAACTGGGGTGGCATGGACACGGTGGGTTCGGGTTTAAGAGGCAACGGTAATCGGAAAACATCGAATGGCATAAACATGAGCTTTCGGAGGTCCGCGCGGAGTTCTTGGATCGCGGCGGAGGCGCCACCAGGGGAGGCCCAGCGCAGATCCGAGAAATCCCCGGACACGTGTGCTTGAGGCAGTATTTGCTCCTCGGGATACAGCAGGGCCCCCCATCGTGGCCCAACCCTGCCTCTGTCTTCCTCCGGCCGCCTGCGTGGAACGCTCGGCGCGCGCGCGCGCTGCGCTAAGCGTGCGCGTCGTCGGGGGCGTTGCGCTCTTCCCCTCCTCGTCCTCCCTTTTCCCATCTTCTTTAACATCGTCGACGTTTGCTCCCCCTGCCCGCTCTTGAGAAACCCCCCTTGGCGCTGCCCCCCCCCCTTCCTCGTCCTCCCCCCTTCCCTCTTCTCTGCCGTCGCCGTTGTCGTCGTTCGTCCCCCCCCCCCGCCTCCCTGAGCCCGCCACCCGACCCCTGGCGTTGCTCCACCCCCCTTCCTCGTCCTCCCCCTTTCCATCTTCTCTGACGTCGTCGTCGTTCGTTCCCCCCCCCCCCTCGCCCCCCGTAGCCCGCCCCCCCATCCCTGGCGGCGCAGGGCCAGGGGGCCCCAGCGCGGATCAAAGAAATCTCAGCGCGGAGCGCCCGAAAGTTTATGGCTATGGCGCTGTTTCTTCTTCGAATGGACCCCCGTGCCGTGAGCCCCGAGCTTGCAGGAGCGGCACGCCCCGCCCGGCAGTCTCGGGGGGGCGGGTCCGTGCATCGAGTCGCGGTGCCGGGGGTCATCCTTGGCCAAACGCCTCCGTGGCAGATCACTGGGCTTCCCATGTCATCTTGTGGACTGCCAACCGACGCTAGTCGACGCCAATCGACACGAAACCGTCGCGAATCGACGCTCCATCTGCGCTGCCTCATCGGTTCCCAGACGCCAGCGCACGCGATGGCACTCGGAAGGCGGAGCTGCGAGGACAAGACGCCCGTGAGCCAACCGAAGCGCGCGGGGGCGGTCCTGGGCAAGGAGTGGCCGCTGGTGCGCGGCCCGTGGCTCGCCGCGTGCGGTGCTACAGTGGCGACCCGCGTGATTGGGTTTGCCCCCTCCCCCCCCCGCCCCCTCCGCCAGGCTAAGAACTGCGCACGCCAGAGGTCACTCTGGCGAAGGGTCACTCCTGCGTGCAGCTGGTATTCGACAGAGTGGGAGATAGAGAGAACCTCCCAACAAACATGTTTATATATAGATATACACACACATATAATTTACATACACATATGTATATTGAAGGAGGGAGGCAAAGAAAGTGAGAGAGAGAATGAGAGATGAAACAGAAAAGAGAGAGAGAGAGAGGGAGAGAAACTAACATTATTTTGCTTCGAGCGATCTCCACCGAAACCTGAAGTGTTTGTTCCCGACGGCGCGCGGTCGCCTAATTGGTGGAACGCTGCGCCCGGGGGCCTGTGGTCTCGGCCAGTGCGGCAGTAGGGCCAGGTGGCGAATTCCGTTGTCTCCAGATCCAACAACCTCAGAGCTCCTGACGAAAGACATTGAAGAGAACCCCGGGGCGAAAAAACAAGCTTCGAAAACGTGCGATGCGAAACGGATAAAGAGTTGCAGCCTGCTGAAAGAGGAAGATGAAGAGCATCAGCAGGAGGAGCAGGATGAGGAGGAGGAGACGGACGACGGAGGAGGAGGAAGAGAAGGAAGGTGAGGCGGACCTCTCCTCCCTTCTTTTCCTCCTGCTCCTCCCACCACTACACAACTGCCGTTTCAGGATTCAAGACGGTTCAACCGTGTTCCATGTAGACACGCTCTTTCATGTGATGCTCTGTTATGTCCTGCTGTGTTCTCGATGGGCCGGCGTGACGTCGTGACGCCTGTGACGTTATATGCGCCGTCTGATATGATGTCCCCCTTGACTTAAATGTGTTTCTTCTGATTGGGGTGTGTTATGGTATGCTCGTCTCTGTCGCCATTTGAGTGGACATGTTCTGAAATGGTTTGCTCTGTGGCACTATGCTATGGTATGATATTTTACGTCAAGCTATGTTATGATATGCTGTGTACTGCGATGCCGTTGACAGCTCGGCTCAGTGCAGTACATTATGAGATGCTCGGCTGAGTCTGTCTCGCAATACTGTGCCGTCGTGTTATGGTATGTTCTGTGGTGCTGTCACGATATGGTCTGACATGATCTGCCAAGGTCTGTTATGATATGCGCGGCTCTTCTCTGCAATGGTGTGATATATCGTTTGTTGTTCTGTCATGTTCTGCTTTGGTATGGTCTGCGATGGTCTGTTTGTTGACGGCTCGGCTCTGTATAATATGTCGTGGTCTGCTCTGCTAGTATGCGTAGCTGAGCTCTGCTGCCGTGCTAAGATGTGTTATGTTAAGGTTGCGTCATGATATAATACTTTATGTCAAAAAGTGTTGCGTTATGCTCGGGTCTGTTGTGCAATTTTGCTGTATGTCGTTGTCTGGTATGGAATATTCCGAAATGGCATGTTAGGGGACGTTTGAGTATGATCTACGTTGTCATGATATTGCTATGGTCTGTTCTGGCATTTTCTGTCACGCTCGTGGTCAGATCTGTCATGGTCTGATGTTTCATAATGTGGTCTGTCGTGTTCGTCGTCGCTGTGCCCTGCTGTCGTGTTATAATATATTACGTGATGTTGCGTCATGGTAAGAAAGGTTATGTCAAGGTGTGGTATGGTATGCTCGGTTACGTTATGTTATCGTGTGTCATGTCATCTTCTGTTCTGGCATGGTCTGCACTTGTGTGTTCTGTGATGTTCTGCTTGTTGACGGCTCGGCAGTGTGTATAGTATAATATTGTCTGCACTGCTAGTATATGTCGCGATGCTGTTCTGTCGTGTTATGATACGTGCTGCAATTATGCGCCATGGTATGAGATGTTATTTCAAGGTGTGGTATGGTCTGATCGGCTAGGTTCTGTTATGTCGTGTCATGTCGTCTTCTGGTCTGCCATGGTCTGCTCTGGTATGGTATGTGATGTTATGGTTGTTGGCGGCTCGGTGTTGTATAGTATATCATTACCTGCTCTGCTAATATGTGTCGCTATGCCCTGCTGTCACGATATAATATGGTATGTGATGATGTGTCATGATATGATTCAGTCTGCCAAGGTGTGGTATGGTATGCTCGGTTATGTTATGCGGTGTTGTGATCTGCCGTATTGTGTTATGTCATCTTCTGCCCTGGCATGTTCTGTGATGATATGATATAACATGGTATGTCATGGCATGGCTATGCTATGTGCTGTCATGTTCGATCATGCTCGTGTTATGTTCTTGCATGTTCTGCTGTGCAATGTTGTGCTCTGTCGTGTTCGTCGTCGCGATACTCTGCTGTCGGGGTCTGGTATGTTCTGTGATGCTGTGTCATAACCTGGTTCGCTCTGTCAATGTGTTATTCATGTTCGGTTATGTTATGTTTTGTTGTGCCATGTCGTCGTCTGTTCTGTCATTATCTGCTCTGGCATGCTCTGTGATGTTCTGTTTGTTGGCGGCTCGGCGTTATGAGCTGCTCTGCTAGCATGTGTCGCAACGCTGACGTCGTATGTTGTATTATGTGATGCTGTGTCCTGATACAGTAGAATCTGCCAAATTGTGCTATGATATGTTCGGTCATGATGTGTTGTGTTGTGTTGTGCCGTCTTCTGTCATCACATGTCCAGCGCTGGTATGTTATATGATGTTATGGTATGATATGGTATGGCATGGCAGTGCTATGCTATGCGCTGTCATATTATGCCATGCTGTTGTTCTGTTACTTCATAATATGTTGTGTCATGCTGTCTTAACTTATACTGTATAATGTCATTGCTATGTTATGTTCTGCCATGGTCGGTCATGCTAGTGTTCTGATATATGATGTTATGGTGTATCATGATGTGTTATGTCGTGTTTGTCGTCGCTATTATCTGATGCCGTGGTATGATATGTTATGTGATGCTGCGTCAAGCGATGATATGATATGTCAAGGCGGGTTATGCTATGTCCGATTATGTGTTGTTATCCACTCGCCGGCCTGGCCGATGAGGTGCCGCGTGAGGCTTCGGCCCACCGCTTTAGGTTAATTCGCCTTTGCGCGGCCCGCTCTAACTGGACTCGCCGCTGGCGCTCTCGCCTGCGGCCGCTGACTAAAAAATGTGCTGTTATGATGTCTTATGTCGTCTTCTGATATGACATGTTCTCCTCTGGCATGTTGCGGGATCTTCAGTTATGCTCTACTGTGTCATGCTATTGGTAATATGTTATGTTCTGTCATGTTCTGCCACTTTCTGTTCTGTCATGTTGTGTTCTGTCGTGTTCGTCGAGGGCGCGAGGCGGGACACCTGGGACTCTCGGGGATCATCGGGACAACTTGGGGTCTGGCCGCCGGGGCATGCAGGGTGGGGTTGGCCGGGCGCCAGGCGGAACACCCGGGACCATCGTGACATCTTGGGGTCTGGCGGCCGCGGTATGCAAAGTGGGGTTGGCTGGGCGCCAGGCGGGACACCCGGGACCATCGGGAAAACTTGTGGTCTGGCGGCCGCGGTGTGCAGGGTGGGGTTGGCCGGGGGGCCTGTTCTTGAAATCTAACAACCCCAGCCTGTCGGGTGGGGGAAACTGGAGAACAACAAAAAAAAACGCCGTCCCGCGGCGGACCCTACGGTGGGGCCTGGAGGGCTTGCGGAAGAGGGCGGGGGAGCAGCAAAGGGGTGACGGGACAGGAAGAGGAGAAGAAAAGGGAGACGCCCGCGGGCATCTCGGGAGCGGCCTGCCCGCCGCTTAGCAAACCATCCCCTTCCGTGACGTCGCCCCCGTTGGGCGCGAAGTAATACGGGGGCGATCCATGGGGAGGAAGCAGGGTGCCCTCCTCGGGCCCTCGAGGCCCCCTTCTGGGTCCGAAGGGGCCTCTCTAGGGGCTCTGAGGGGCCCCTTTTCGGCAGACCTCGCTGCCCCACCATTTGACGCCCCCCCCCCATTACGCGTCCTCCGACCTCACCTTTCAGGCTTCCCTCTGGCCGCATATACATACGCCGTGGGGCGAGGCGAGAAGGACGTCACGTAAGGGCATGGTCCGCCATAGGGGTCGGTAAGGCCGTTCCTTGGTACCGGGCCGCGACAGCATGCTCGTTCGCCTTTCACCCTTCGCGGCGTTCGCACCAGGTGAGCAAGTCGCATTGAACGCTTCGTCAAGAGAACGTGAAGACGTACGCGCGAGAGGTGCGCAAAACTAGCCACGCCCTGCTCTCTTTGGTTTTGTGCCTCCGAGCAAGGGTACGTTCAAACTCTGCCCCCCTGGCCCATCGAGGAAATCGTCCTGACCCGTTCTTGCAGCCCCGTGCGGCGGTGAGGGAGTCAGGAATGCGAGGGCAGCCTGAGGTGGCAAACAAATTGCACAAAAAGATCGGTTGAGTACGCCACCCTTCCACTAGCATGATGGCCGCGAACCGAACCGAAAACCGAAAACCGGGTCTGGAACCGAACCGGCCGAACCGAACCGGCCTGCCAAACCGAACTGGCCGAACCGAACCGGCCCGCGGTGCGAACCGAACCCGACGAACCGAGCCGGCCGAACCGAGCCAACCGAACCGAATTGGCCAACCAGGCGAACCGAACCAGCCGAACCATCAGTGGCAACTTGATCCGAGGACGTTCCTCGGAGGAGGGATCTCGCACAGCAACGTGGACCTCGGCCTTAAAGTCGCTGAACAAACAATTCATGGTGTCCAAGGCTGCCCGGTACTCCAGGACGGGGATGCCCTCTGAGTTAGTGACCGAAAGCTCCTGCATCATCTCTTGCTCAACATCGGTAGTGTGGAGATTGATGTCAAAACTGACAGGCTCCGAATCGTCGTCTTGCTGGTATCCGACATTTGCCACGGCTGCGTAGATGCCCGTAGAGTCGTTCTCCGCCATGTTACCCGTCATATACAGGTTCATGCCATCTTCGTTCGATACGTCGAACTCGACATTTGTTGTAGTCTCGTTATACCCGTACGATGCCTCAATCGCGATAAGCACATCACCATCCCGAAACACATTTGCAAAAAGACTCGTCTGACTGCAATCTGTACACTTTGTGGCCTGCACCAAAGCTCCATCCCACGCCACAATAGATTCCATCCCCAAGAAACCAAGATCTCCCGTCGTTCCCTGACTCGAAAAACTCTCAGACTCATAGATGGTCTCAGAGATGTCCCACTGCACCATCATCTCATCTTCGTAGATTACCTCACCCCAGGTCGTGTAGTTATCGTCACCAGTGTTCTCCATTCCCACATCCCATTGCACTAATGTATTATTGGCGTAAACTTCTCCGAACATTTCTTGCAGATGCGTATCGTCATCGTCAGAATCAAGAAATGCCACATCCCATCGAGCGAACAACTCGGAATCAGTGTAAACCTCTCCCATCAACGAAACCATATCGTCACTCTCCGTCCCTGACACGCTCCACTCTACAATCGATTCCTCCATGATAAAGATCCCGCCCGTGGACTCAAGCATGGTAGTCATATCTGCGGGCGCCGTCTCAGCCAAGGAAACAAAAGAACTGAAGACCGTCTCGTTCTCCCACTGAAACTCGATGGTAACATTCTCCACGAAGGAATCTGCTTCGTCTTCGACTGTCCATGACACGGCCCAACCCAAATCTCCACGGATCCCGTGACCAGGATGCCGAGCCGTGAACTTCTGGCATTCATAACCTGCAAGTATTTCTATATTTTCGGCCTCCGGGGGCCCTCACCGGGGTCGGGACCGTCAGAAAACGGCTCAGCATGCTTGTCCTAATCATGGGGGAACCAAGCGGTACCAATACGGCTACTCACCAGACCTCTCCCAGGGTGCGTTCTGACCAGACTTTCGGGGCGAATCCGGCGGTGGCGGCGAGGGCCTCCCAGGAAGCCCCGGAGGGCGAAAACGGGGGAAGGGTAGCAATATGGGCACCTGCTCGTCCTTTGAACTCACGTCGGAGATCTCCTGACCTGGGTCAATCGAGACCTGGGTGAGTCGGGCCTTGCAGGCTCCTGCAGGGTCCTGCGCCCGAGCCCGGGTCAATGCGACCCTGGCCATCACCGGGCCATGCAACGATTCAGAATGAAAAACCGGTCCCAGGGAAGGGGTCCAGACCTCTGGTGGGGGTCGACGTTGTGCAAAAATCAAGACGTCGGGGGTCTGGGCCCCAGATGGGATCGGAATGGGGTCGGAAGGCCGCGCCGCCTCGCCGATGCATCGGCAATGCATCGGGGATGAACCGGTGACGCATCGTCGGCGTCGGCGATGCATCGGCGACATCAGCGTGAAGCAAATCGGGCTCCACATCGAGCCGCAACGGCGATGCATCGGCGATGCGGCGCGATCCTCCGACCCCATCTGCTCCGATCCCATCTAGGAGGCCTAGGGTATCACGCCTACGCAGGCCTGGCACGGCCCTGAGCTGCACTGCAGTCAACCCTGGCAGGAAGGAGGCGCGGTAGGGATGCAAGAGCCCCTCGGGCGCCCATGTCAGAGCTTGTCGAGCGGGGCTGCCCATCGAGAACGGTGAAGGATGGGCCGAGGAGGCCACGATGCAAGGGTACCCTTCGGAAGGCCACCCATGCTAACCATCGACCCCGACTGTGTTGAGACGGGGGACGACCGCACTGGACAATCACGGGACGACCACAGGACAGCGACGGGCAAACTGGGGCGGCCGGGGCAACCACCAGTGGGCAACGGCGGGACAACCCAGGGCGGCCAGCGAGGGGGGCAAGCTGGCAAGGTCTGTGCCGCACCGTGGGGAGATCTTGCGCTGCTTCGCTACGCAGGCGCGCACGAGACGAACCGAACCCGAGATCGCGGAGGCGTAAGACTCGGGTATGGGGGACTCGGGTTGGCCTGACGGGGTCATCATGAAAATAACGAGACCCAATCTGAAATTTGATGTGAGCTCCCGCTGCAGACATCCCACGAAAACCAGGACCGTCAAAATCCAGGACACGCTCGGTAAAAAACGTCGTCAAACCCGAGTTCTGTCTTACTCGAGTCTTACCTTTCCCCGAAGATATACTGGTAAGGCTCTCTCGGGTTCTCTTCGATCTCACCCCCGAACCTGCGACATTAGATCGTAAGCCCTGCTACCAGGACCTTAGAGGCCTTCGGCCGACCTTTTGAGCTTGGCAGGGTGCCCTCATGAGCCCCCAAGGCAAGCGAGAAAGAAAAAACTCCCGTGGAACACCCGCTGGCTGGCCAGCTTCTTATCTGATGCACCTACTGTGAACGCACCCGCGTCCAGACATGCCGTCGCGAAGCCATGTGGATACGCCAAAGTCTACCGAAGCCTCGGAGGACAGCTCCGCCTCGCTCGCGATCATCGTCAAGGACACACTGTACGTCGGTGACGCGTCTGGCATGGATGATTGGAATCCGGCTTCCAGGATTTGATCGTTCACCGAAAACTCTAAAGAACAACTCCCCTGGAGACACGGGAACTCGTCCAAGTCATCCTGCAAGTACGAGCTGCCAATCTGAAAACTCCCTGCGATGTCCAAATCCATCTCGCCAGGGCCCTCCGTGAATGCTACCTCGGCCGTGCCAATTTCATCGTTTGCGTTGTCGAAGGCAGCAACAAACACCGACATGTTGCCCGTGTACGTGATGACGAGTGGGTCGAGCCTCAATGTTTCTCAAAGACGCTGGGGGCTTTTTTTCCATGCTCAGCTTTTCATGTTACGGTCGACCAAGACATTAAAAGTAACCTGGCGAAGGACCCAACCATCTGCAATTGTGCGTACCGCAATTGTGCATCTCTTCTTCGGTGGCGCTCCCTATGGGACCACGAACCCTGTGAGGGGTGTGCCGAAAGGGGTGCGCCGGACGCATGTGGACGGTGGCACTGGGGCCTTCAGTGGAGCTCCCTGTGGGGCCACGAAACGTGTGAGGAGTGTGCCGAAATGGGTATGGGGGACACATGCGGGCGGTGGCACTGGAGCCTTCGGTGGAGTTCACTGTGGGTTGGCGAAACGTGTAATGGGTGTGCTGAAATGGGTGTGGAGGACGCAAACGGAAGGTGGCACCCGGGTCTTCGGTGGAGCTCCCTATTGGGCCACGAAACGTGTGAGGGGCGTGCCGACATGAGTGTGGGGGACGCATGTGGACGGTGGCGCTGGGGCCTTCGGTGGAGCTCCCTATGGGGCCACGAAACGTGTGAGGGGTGTGCCGACATGGGTGTGGAGGACGCAGGTGGACGGTGGCACTAGGGCCTTCGGTGGAGCTCCATATGGGGCCACCCTTGAGTGGAGCTCCCTTTGAGGCCACGAAACGTGTGAGGGGTGTGCCGAAATGCACGTGGGGACCGCATGCGGGCACCCCCACTCAGGCCTTCGGTGGAACACCCTGTTAAGCGACGAAACGTGTGAGGGGTGTGCGGAAATGGACGTGGGGACCGCATGCGGGCACCCCCACTGGGGCCTTCGGTGGAGCACCCTATGGGGCCACGAAACGTGTGAGGGGTGTGCCGAAATGGGTGTGGAGGACCGCATGCGGGCACCCCCACTCAGGCCTTCGGTGGAGCTCCCTATGGGGCCACGAAGCGTGTGAGGGGTGTGCCAAAATGGGTGTGGAGGACAGCATGCGGGCACCCCCACTCAGGCCTTCGGTGGAGCTCCCTATTGGGCCACGAAGCGTGTGACGGGTGTGCCAAAATGGGTGTGGAGGACCGCATGCGGGCACCCCCACTCAGGCCTTCGGTGGAGCTCCCTATGGGGCCACGAAGCGTGTGAGGGGTGTGCCGAGATGGATGTGGGGGCCGCATGCGGGCACCCCCACTAGGGCCTTCGGTGGAGCTCCCTATGGGGCCACGAAACGTGTGAGGGGTGTACCGAAATGGGTATGGGGGCCGCATGTGGGCACCCCCCAGCAGGGCCCCCGGTGTAGCTACTTTTAAGGGCAAGAAACGTGTGAGCGGTGTGCCGCAGTGGCGGGGGTGACGGGAGGAGGGAGGAGGGGGGGCAAGAGGAGTAGAGGAGGAGAAGGTGGGGGCCGTCTTTTCAAAACGAGGACCCAACACCACAGGATGGTTGGGAAAAACACGGCAACCCAAAACATAACAAAAACGACACCGGCTGGGCCCAAAACGGGAAAGAACAGCTTCCAAAACAAAGAAACGACGTGCTCGTGATGTCCCCTTTCTCGGTGGTGCGATATGGTGCCATATGGAGCCATCCAGATGGTGCAAGAGATGTGGCATGCATGGCTAAGTAGACATCAGGATAGAAGCACAGGCGAGAGACGTGCACTATGCAAAAGCAAGTCCAGGGTGGCTGTGGGAGGGCAGCTTGAGCCCAGGCAGCCGCGGGGAAGGCTGCTAAGGGCGGCAACAACTCAAACTGGCTGTCAAAGCAAACACGTGCACATCGCACTACTATGCTCATGAGGCCCCCTTTTCGGTGGTGCAATATGAGACCATATGGAGCTATCCAGATGGCGCACGAAATATGACATTCATGGCTAAGTAGACACCCGAAGTATTCACATAGTCGAAGTTCTCAGCGAAGCGGCACCACAGGGAGCGGAAACGGCGCCAACCATGGGATAGGCGGCGGCAGCAGGGACGTTTCTGAATCACGCGTTGATTAACATACGACACAGCAGTGCATCAAGGCGGTGCGGATATTCTGCGGCTTTGCTCACCATTGCCTTTCCCTGGGGAACAACGTGCTTGTGTCCTGGCCTGAAGGAGCACCAGCCATGTTTCCCGTGGCGACGCAGCCTCCCAGGATTCGCCAGACAAACGTCGCCAGAGGCCGTAGTGCAGCCAAAAATGATCCTCGTGGCCTTTCTCCACCGGAGACCGAAAGCACATTGATGGATATCTCACGCTCTGGAAAAGGTCAGTACATTCTCATGTATCTTTCGAACGCGCCACATATACGAAGTTAAAGGGTTCTCTAGAACAGAAGGTATGCCGTTTCTCAAGCAGGGACTGATGATCTAAATTTCCACATCGAGACACAAGTTACCAATCCTCACCGCCTCTTTGCCTGGTCCAGTCAACGCTGGTAGACCCTCGGGATGTTCAGAGCTTCTGACGGGGTAAAGATTGCGAGCCAGAGACAAGGACGAGCAAGGGGGAGCGAGCATCGCTGCCTTCACCAGACCAAATCGGAAGTGCCGCTCAAGCATTTTCAGGTTGCGAGAGCTACGCGCATCTTGGTCCATGACGCGGGTCCGAGCTCGCGGCCCGATAACAAGACCGTCGCGCTTGCTTGGCCACGCCACCGCTTCCAGAAAACCAAAACACATCCAGCAAATACGGCGCAGCCTGCATGCGGAGCTGCTGGCTCAAAGGCCCATCCGACAAGGCCTGGCGGTCGGCGAACGGCGGCGCCGCCGCGTCTCGGCCCAGTGGCAGCACGTCCTCCGGCTGCCTGGACGCCGTCGCGCAGTGCGCCTTGGCCAGGCCCGACAGGCACCCCCAGCTTTCGTTCAGCCGGCCCGACTTCTCGCATCTCTTCACCGACGTCAACGCAGCCGGTCTTCCTCGCTTCTAGACCTCCACTTGCGCGCGCCGTCCCGTGGCCCGATCCGGCGATGCTCCGCCATGCCGGCCTTGGTGCGGCGCGGCATCCACCCCGATATCCAGAGCGGCTCTTCCGAAGAGATTCAGGAAATGAGGGCAGCTCAAGTCGAGGCGGGGCAAGGATGACTTGCGATCTTTGAGCGACTTGAACACGTAGCTCGCCCAAGGGCAACGGCCAGTGTCGCAAGGCATCGCGTCGTCCGCCGATCCGACTTTGCTCCGAGCAGCCCCTGTCTCTGGAAACGGCCACACAACCCAACTTTGAACTGCGTGTTCGCTCGGAGCCAGGAGTGACTTGCTCGACCGTCCCAGCAGATCCCCTGGCCGCAGACAGCACTCCACCACGATGAGCACCATGGCGGCTGTCAGCGGGGCCCCCAGGCGACACAGCTCCACCGCTAGCTGCTAGGGCCGCCCGGATCGCGAACACCAAGGGCTTCCGCGAGCGAGAAGGTGGCAGCTTCTTCCAGCCCTTCAAGCTACGGAGAAAGCGCGGCAGGTGCAGGCCCCCCAAGCGACCGTAGTCTGGGTGGAAGAATATGATGCCCGCTAGCCGCTTCTCTCACCGCCAGGACTTCTTCACCCCCTTCAGGAATCCGCGGTTCATGTGCTCGACGAGTACCGCATCCAACTCGGACGGCTCGGGGAGGGCCTCGATCGAGCAATGGGCCCAGACGCAGAACGCGAGGACGCACTGCCGGTAGGCATCCAGCTTCGCAGCCCCCACCGACCTTCGCTCGAGGTAGCTGATGCCCACCTCCTGGTTGGCAGCAGCTGCCTGCTCGCCCTCCAGCTCGGCGAGCGCCCGGCGTGCCCTCGCCATGCTCCGGGTCTCGAGGCGCCGAAGACAGCGGGCGTTTACCCTGGTCTCCTCGGCGTCGCTGCTCTCTCCGCTCGCGCTCTCGCCCGCGCCCTCGACGGCCCCGCGGGCGGTTGGCCCGGGCGCCGAGCGTCGACCCCTCGCGCGGCTCCGCCTTCCAGGAAGCCCTCCAGGAAGCCCCCGGGCGCCGAGACCTGAACCACGAGCCTCGCGTCAAGCCCGCGCCTCGGATCCAGCGCCCTCGCCCTCCGGGGCGCCGGAGCGCCCGATGGGGGCCGCCCTCCTGGCCCCGCGCTCAGCGCGCGCGCTCGCCCCCTGGCCAAGAGGCTCGGCGCCAGCGTCGCTGCGGGCTCCCGGGTCAGCGCCCTCCGCCGCGCAGTCTCGCGCGCCGCAGGGGGCCCCAGCGGGGGCATCGCCAGGAATGGAACCAACCTGGGCTGAGAGCGAGTTTGAGCCAAGATGGGAGACAAGAGTCTTGCCATGATCGTGGTGGGGGTCAAACCTCCGACATCCTTCATCGCCAGAATTGACTTCACTTGGGATCCACCTCGCGACGACCTTTGTCCCGGGCGAGACGGAGAGCGGCGAGGCGTCGGACCTGAATTCGAATCCCTGGACCTGCAGCGGCATTAACACAACGCCACTGCGATATTGTCTCCTAACAAAAGAGCTTGGCAATCTTTCACCGGCTGGCAGTGCGCAGCCCGAGACGCTGCCGTCACGAGCGCCAGGGCCGCGAGTCTAGGGATATCATATCCGAACACCCACCTGTCGGCCATGACTGCGGTCCAGTGGGAGTCGTCGAGCAACGAACTGGGCGCCTCAGGGAAGCTGGGATCGGCCCCCCAAAGCTCGCTGTCCAGCACGCGCCTAAGGTCGGCGCCCTGCTGCTGCGGCGCGCCGCCACTGTCCGGGATGACCTCGCCGGCGGAGCTGTCTGGCAGCAAGCCAGCGCGCTCAAAAGCGCGCTGCCGTGCCACCCCAGCGCCAAGCCGCCGCCGCGACGGCTCGGGCACCCGCCAGATTCCGGCCACGGTCGCACGCTCGAAGCAGGCCTCCGCCACGCCGTAGCCGTACAGGCTCGCGCCCGAAGGGTAGACGACGGGGGCCCACCCTCTGGCCCAGCGCGACTCCAGCAGCACCGCGATGCCGAGGTAGCTCTCGAGCTCCTCCCGCACTGTAGGCCACAGCGCAGAGACAGCGCGGTAGCTCTGCGCCACGAACGCATATACCGAATGGAATATGGGAGAAACCTCGCGACGAACTACGGCCATGAACGCCCGGTGGCCCAGCGCCATCTCCAGCTGCCAACCTGCGACATGCGGCGCCCGAGCAGGCATCGGAGGCCCTTGCGTACAGTGGCGAACCGCTCGTCTGTCGGACGCGTCGCTAGATGGCTGCCGTCGACGCAGCGGCCGAGGGCCCACCCGCCGCCGGGCTGCGCCTCCACCTCGTGGAACTCCAGCTGGTCGCTCTCGAAGTCCCGCTGCGCCTCGGACAACGCGGCCCGCGCGAGGCGCTCCTCCAGCCCGAGGGCCCCCGCGCTGCCAACGCACATGAAATGACCTAGGCAGCTCTCCGACGACTCGGCCCTGAGTGCCAGAGGCGGGCCTCGATCGCTCATGCGCGCGCTGCCGCTGAGCGAAGGTTGCCGATCCGAACGAGCCTGATTTGCGGCCTGTGCGAAATACAAGGACCACGAACAACCTATAGGAAGACTCCGACTCATGGGCCACGCCTGATCGCCCATGGCTACAGGCGATCCTTCGACCAACGCCACTCCTGTCAGAGAGGCACCCAGTGGCGGCCAGCAGAAATATCGCCTGATTGTGCTCTCCAGCTTCATCCCGTGGAAACAGTCGGCGAGGTCGCCAACTCCCAGCGCCGCGGGTAGCCTCGCCAAGTCACGCCCCCCCCCCCCCCCCCCAGCGATGGCATCTCGATGCGACCGAGCCCCTCGCCCGACAGTAGATCCACGCCAGGTGGGGGGCGAAATAATGAGCCGCTGCGCCTGCATCCTTCTTCTTCACGAAAGAACAAGCCCAGCGCGCTCAAAGGCCGCCGCGTCAACGTGACGAGGCCGACCGACAAGGCGCGCCTGACGAACTCCCCATAACTCCGAGGTCGCTTGAGCAGAATGGGGGTCGGTATGACGTCCAGGGGGTCCGTGAATCTCATGCATTAGAGCAGCCTCCTTCGGCGGAGGCAGCGTCCTGGTGGCGAGCTCCACGGGATAGAGCCTCGCCTGCGCGGGCAGCATGGTCGCCAGACTGGGAGCGTCGACGACACTATCTGGCAAACTGACCCGCGAGTACTCGTAGGAGCCCATGCTTGTGGAGACAAGCGGAGCGTATCCCGATTTGCCCTTGGGAAGCCGGGCGAAAACTTCCTCCTCCGCGATGGCGCTGTCAATGTCGATCCAACGGCGGGCCGCCGCAAAGACGCGCTGCTGCACATCCACCCGTATGGCATCCATCTTACGGCGGCTCACCTCCCCCTGTAGAGATCTGCCGGCTCTGTGGACACCCCCGTGCGAGAAATTCAAACTGCTGCCGGCTGCGCTGCCGCCCCGAAGCCAACGGCGCCGTTGGGGCCTGCTACGGCCTCGCACCACTCCTCCAGCGAAGCCGCGAGTGGGGCCAGGGGCAAGAACGACGATCCATGCAGCCCCTGATTGCCCTCACGTCTGCGGGGCACGATCGGGCCCCCGTGCCCCTCCGCCTGGCGCGTCACGTGGCCGGCGGGCGGGGCCCGCGACCCCGCCCGCCTCGCCTGCCCCTGCCGCGCCCACCGCCACAACCGTCGCCGCTTGCCTCGGCCCTCGGGGAGCCCCCAGCAGCTGCCAGCCCGCCAGCGCCCGCAGCCGCCGCCGCAGCCCGCGAGGCCTCCGCGGGCGTGACTCCTGGGGCCTTCGCACGGGCCCGCAGCACCTCCAACTCATACGCCACCTTCGAGAGGCGGCTAGCGTAGCTCCTGAGCGCGTCGGGCACGAGATCCAGCGGGTTAGACGCCCCCGCCAGGTGCTTCGCCGCCCCCCAGTTGGCCTGGTCCGCTCCGTGCGCGTAGGCCTCCATGTACTGGAGCAGCCTCGCGGCGACCACCTCTAGCGACGCGAGGGCTCCCATGTTGACCTGGTCGTAAGTCCCAGCCAGGTACAGGCACTCTATAAAAGTCTGCACCTCGTTGTATGCTCTGTCCCGACGGGACAGCCCTGTCTCCATGCATCACTCCTGGAACCAGATCTTCGGGCCCCCCCCGTGACGATACATGTTTCGGCACACCTCCAGACAGGCGGGGGGGCCCCGCATATTCGAATCCGTGAAGACCTCCGGGTGCCCTCCTGCACCACTTTGCGCCATTCCTTGAAGTGGGCTCCTGTCTCGTCAACGTCGATCCAGCACGTGCGAAGGTCCTCCTGGGCCTCAGCGCCTGCACACGCCGCGGCAACGGGCGCACCGCCAAACACCTCCCCGGGCGGCGTAGGCGTGCCCTCGACAGTGGGGAACAGCCTGTCGTCCAACCTCGACCTCGGGGGCGGTAAGCAATCGGCAGCGACCAGCTTCCCGCCCTTCCAAGAGCTAGCGTCCTCGTCCCTTACGTACTCGATGGGTACCAGTCGCCGTGCTCGTCGCGATCCAGGCCGAACCGCCCTCGCAGCACCGCCGACGCGGTCAGCTCCACTTGCCATAGCTGCCAGCGTCCTCCAGCGAAGCGGCGACCCAGGCGCTGGGCGGCCGCTCCTCAGGCGGCGGGGGCGGTGGCGGCACCGCGTCGGCGAGCGGGGCAAGGTCAGGGCCGCCGTCAGCACCCGCAGCGGTGGTCTTGTGGCGCAGCCGTCGGCGCCGCACGCGGGGAACCTCCACCGCGGCCAACGGCGGGATCGGCAGCCGGCGTCCTGACCAGTCTTGGCCATCTCCTGACCACCAGTCAGCCGCGCCAACGCCGTGCTCGAGCACGGCCTCGCCCCTCCCGCGGCGCACGGGCGTCATCACCCCGTCTCGCTGCAGCTCACGGCTGAACGCCACCACGTTCCTCACTCCCGCTGGGTACCTGCGACGGCCTGTCATGACCACGAGGCTGAAGTAGTCACTCAGCTCCTCGGCGTACAGGTCGTTGTCCGCCGTGTACATCATCCGGGACGTGCGGTCTTCCGCACCTGGCCAGCACAGCACACGTTCGTGAGACCAGCCCGCGTCCTCCTCGAACTGCACCTGCACCCGCAAGCCTGGCGTGGCGCCACCCAGCGCCATCACGCCACGTGGACCCGCGCAGCGCGCAGCGGCTCCCGCGTACGCTGTGCCGAAGCCATGCTGGCTGACAACCGCCAGCCGCCCCACGTCAGTCCGCACGCCGCCGCGACCACCACGCCGAGCAAGCCGGCGACGGGCACCTCCACGGTGGCCCCGACGCCCTCGCCCACCAGTCGCAGCGGCTGTGGCTCCACGGGCGGCACAGCACACACGCAGGTGCTCGTGGTCGACGACGTCCAGGTCGTCGCCGAGCTATCTTCCAGCTCGTGCCCCAAGCCGTCTCGCGGCCAATCCAGAACAGGCTCAGGAGCCAGCGCAGGCTCCAGCACCAGATGCGTGGAGAAGCCCACCCAGAAGGTGATCAGGGCAGCCACCGCGATGGCCGGGCCATGCGGCTGCATGCCCGCTTGCAGCTTGAGCCCAGGCAGCCGAGGAGAAGGCTGCTAAGGGCGGCAACAAATCAAACGGTCTCTCAAAGCAAACACGTGCACATCGCACTACTATGCAATCTTGAAAACTGAAAAGAAAAAGCCTCCCGCGTTTTTGAGAACATCTAAGGGTCAAGCTTGAACTGCTGGTCGGAATCCCCATCCAAGACGACGAACGTGACGCTGTACGCGCCGTCTGCATGAGTGCCGTTCGCCCGCAGCACGAGGTCCGTGGACCCTCCCTGCAAGGCCGACCCCTCGGCCCAGAAGCCACCAGGCCTTGGTGGGCGCCCCTTTCCGATTCCGAAGAAGTGTCCCCAGACCTCCCCGCGCTGGGAAAAAAAACACTACGGGAAGCGTTTCGCCATTTTCGGCCTCCGGGGGCCCTCACCGGGCCTCGGGACCGTCAAAAAACTCTGGATGAAAACCTGGGCCCGGGAGAGGGGCCCGGATGGAAAAATCACGACGTCGGGGGTCTGGGTCCTATTGGGGTCGGAGTGGGGTCGGAGGATCGCGCCGCGTTGCCGATGCATCGGCGATGCATCGGGGATGAACCGGCGACGTATCGTCGGCGTCGGCAATGCATCGGCGACGTCGGCGTGAAGCAAATCGGGCTCCACATCGAGCCGCATCGGCGATGCATCGGCGATCACGTGCGATACATTGGGGATGCATCGGCGATGCATCGACGTTGTGAAAAAATCACGACGTCGAGGGTCTGGGTCTTTTGAAAACGGAAGCGGCAAACTCAAGGCGACCGGAAACTGCAAAAAGCCGGCTCCAAGATTGGAACCAAAGCCAGAACCAGCAAACAAACGGCGATGGAGCCGGCCAAAGAGCTGCGTCGGAAGTGGCAAAACAACGGCAGAAGGGAAGCAAAACGGCCCTGTCGCTCCCGGGGTCCACTAAGCACCAGGCACGCCCTCGTGGTCCATGATGTACATGGTGACCTGCAGGTCCGGCTCGCCGCTGTCCAGCTCGAAGGTGTCGAGATAGAAGGTGGACTCGGTCTCGCTGCCTGTCGTGGCGCCCCACAGGTGCAGGTCCACCAGCGTCTGGTCCTCCTCAGAAAAATGCGCACGGACCAGATTGGGCCCAAACTTTTTTCGTCGGCGGCCAGGCAAATACTGCGCCAGCGGACGACGATCCGGGGCGACCGAAACGAGAACTGGCCGACGTGCACGAGGAGGAAAAGGGACGACGAAGCGGAGCGGAGACGGGCCCAAACACTCCAGAACACCCCAGTCGTTTGTGAAACGGTTTCCCCCCTCATCCACCAAAACCATTATACACACCTAGTTTCTAATTGTTGTCTTCGTCTCCGCCGAGATGTTGGCGCCGATAGAATACTCGTCGACGCCGTCCATTAAGAACGCGTCGAATTCCGACATTATGTCGCCACTGTCCCCGTCGAAGGTCTTGAGTGAGATGGTGGCGCCCGTGCCGTTGTCGCTCATGGATGCCATGCTGCTAAATGCCATACTCATGAGGCCAGTGTCTTCGTCGAACGTGTCGAGCTCAACTGTTGCGTACGTCATATCATCGGCCATTGCGCCCTGGCTGGACAAGTCCAGAAGCTGATAACCGCTTTCAGCATCTGCAGTCGTGAGCATGAAAGAACCGTACAAGGGGGACATGTCAGTCAGCATCATGGCCCCCGAGGAGGACATGTTCACCAACGTCCCCAAGTCCTGCAAACAATACCGCATTACACCATTGACAGCAGAAGACTCGAAACAAGTCCTTAGAACACTAAGCAAGGCACGGCAGAGACCACCGTAGAGGAGCGAGGAGAAGTACAGAACGTGCTAGAGAGAGCACTGCACGGGAGATCGGACGGGAGACCAGAATGGGGACCATGAGACAGACCATACGGGAAGCCATGAGAGGACCCAACAGGAGACCACACTGCAGACCATGCGGGAAGCCATGAGGGAGACCATGAGAGGGAGGGACCATACGGGGGACCATACGGCAGACCATACTGCAGACCATACGGGGGACGCCTTTCAGGAAAAGCCGCACGGAAGAGCACGGACAGTCGATTCCGGATACGTCGAGCGGAGCACACCAGGCTTTCGACGGGTGATCGAGGAACCTTGGAGACAAAAACTACACAGGGAACCGACAGCGAGGACAAAGGCTGCAGTTACTCGAGCCTGTTTTCACTGGCTTCCTGCCTGTACCCCCTGGCCCATGGAATAGCTGTAAGATCTGTCTTGTCTGGATATGTGTCTTTGCCTGTCTTTGACCCCATGGGTAAGATCTGTCTTCCTTTGTAAGATCTGTCTTGTCTGGATGTGTTTATCTGGGCTGGATATGTAAGACCTGTCTTTGTAAGATCTGTCTTGTCTGGATATGTTTGTCTTTGTCTGTGGGTCTTTGTCTGTCTTGTCTGTCTTGTCTGGGTAATTATGTCTATATTTGTCTTGTCTGGATCTTGTCTGGCCCCTTTTGTATGTCTTTGTCTGGATCTCCGGCGTGGCGGTGAGGCTGAAGTCAGTCTTGTACTCGTCACCGTCGACGGCACCATGGAAAGACAACTCCAGCGAGACGCCATCTTCATCGTACGTGTTCAGCGTGAGCGAACTGCTGGAATTGGGATCGCTGTAGAGAGAGAAGTCTCCGACGTCCGGGATGTATGCCGACACGCTAAGCATCGCCCCATCGTCGAAGAAGTTGAAGGCACCGTAATCCATCATGGAGAAATTGCTGGTGAGGGCGCCCTCCAAACTGGCCTCGCTGCTGGCCACCCCTACGTCGAACGCCATCAGAGTCTCGCCGCTCTCCACATCTGTGGTCGAGAACATGAGAGAGCCGTAGAAGGTGGAGAAGTCATACGGCATCAAGCTTCCCGAAAATGACACATTCATCAATGTTCCCGCATCCTGGGAAGACATAACGAAACAAACTCTAACACTGCATGATCAAACTAATCGCTTGTATATTTTGGAAGGTTGTGTGCCCCTACCCCACTGACCCATGAACAACCTATTTAACACAATTACGCTACCGAAGAACCCCACATACGTATATCATGGCTGGAGTGCTGGAGCGGTGATAGCTGAAGTGAAGCATGTGATAATGATGCTGGTGGCCGTTCCCTGCGCCCCCCCTTGGTGTTGAGAAAGGGCCACGCCTGCTACGCCCTGGACGACCGGCTCGGATAGCGGCCGCGCTGAGAGACCACCACTTGCGGACCCCCTAAGGTTACGAGAATATGCCACGCCTGCTACGCGGATGGGCGGAATGGGAGGGACGGTCGGAATGACACGCCTGCTGCGCCGTGCGAGCCTGCAACGGATAGAGACCGCACCCCCCGCGCACCCCCTCTGTTATCGAGGCATTGCCACGCCTGCCGCGCCCTGCAGGCCTGAAAAGCATAGAGGCCGCACCTCCTGCGCACACCCTCTGGCGTCGAGAAAATGCTACGCCCGCCGTGCCTGACGCGCCAGCAATGCATAGAGACAGCACCCCCTGCGCACCCCCTATGGTGTCGAGAAGGTGCTACGCCTGCTAGGCTTTGCGACAGTGTCGTGGATAGCGGCCGCGCTCAGAGACCACCCCCTGCGCGCCCCCAAGGGTGTCCAGAAAGTGCAACGCCTGCTAGGCTTTGCGACAGTGTCGTGGATAGCGGCCGCACTCAGAGACCACCCCCTGCGCGCCCCTAAGGGTGTCCAGAAAGTGCAACGCCCGGAAGGCTTTGCGACAGTGTCGTGGACATCGGCCGCGCTCAGAGACCACCCCCTGCGCGCCCCCAAGGGTGTCCAGAAAGTGCAACGCCTGCTAGGCTTTGCGACAGTGTCATGGATAGCGGCCGCGCTCAGACCCACCCCCCTATGGTGTCCAAAAAGTGCCACGCCTGCTAGGCTTTGCGACAGTGTCGTGGATAGCGGCCGCGCTCAGAAACCACCCCCTGCGCACCCCCTATGGTGTCGAGAAGGTGCTACGCCTGTTAGGCTTTACGACAGTGTCATGGATAGCGGCCGCGCTCAGAAACCACCCCCCTATGGTGTCCAGAAAGTGCCACGCCTGCTAGGCTTTGCGACAGTGTCGTGGATAGCGGCCGCGCTCAGAGACCACCCCCTGCGCACCCCCTATGGTGTCGAGAAGGTGCTACGCCTGCTAGGCTTTGCGACAGTGTCGTGGATAGCGGCAGCGCTCAGAGACCACCCCCTGCGCACCCCCTTATGGTGTCCAGAAAATGCCACGCCTGCTGTGCTCTGGACCACCGTCACGGATAGCGTCCGCGCTCAGGGATCACCCCGTGAGCACCCCCCATTGTGTCGAATATGCCAAGCCTGCTAGGCTTTGCGAGCGTGTCGTGGACAGACACTGTGCGAGAAGGAGGAGGAAAGGGTTGTGCTGTGCTGTGGTGTGCGTGTGCGTGTGTGTATGTGTGTGTGTGTTGTGCGTGTCTGTGTGTGCGTGAGGAGAGGGCGAAGGAGAGGGAGGCGGGTGGAAGACGCGGGTGCGACGCGGCAGAGAAGATAACCAGAACACCACGAAACATGTGGGGAATAAGTATGACGGTTTGTCTTGATATCCATCGAGACGGTGGCGCTCATGTACGTCTGGAACTCCGCACCCTCGATACCGCCATGGGAGGTTGCGACCCACTCTGACACAGGACTCCCGTAGAGGTCGAATGTATTCATAATAAAAGTGGACTCGTAATCTACAGGTACCGGGAATTCATCGGTGGTTCTTCTGGAAACTGTTGCGTTCATCTCCTCGAGGACATAGCCAGTCTCGTCATCATAAGTTGTCAGCATGAGAGAAGTGTATTCCATGTCAGGGCCAAACGAGTTGACGCTTTTTGTTGTAGTGCCTGTTACCTCCAGCGTTGGCTTGCCGCTGTCGGTGTACGTGGTCAGAGACATGTGACCTTCTTGATAGTCGTCGCTGCTGGAATCTTCTGTTGCAAAAAACTCGAACAGGGACGAGCGATCAAGCTCAGAATTCGTAACATACGCTGACGCATTCATCAACGCCCCATCGTCGTAGAAATTGAGACTAGCATAATCCATGCCGTCCTCGTCGAAGATGCGAGCCAACATGGAGCTGGTACTCTCACCATCGTCTGTGATCTTGATTTCAACGCCGCTCCCCTCTGGCGCATCGAGCAGCAGGTAGAACCCCTCGCCTTCCTTCACGTCTACTTGCAAGTTTCCTAAGCCCCCCTCTGGCGAATCGAGCAGCAGGTAGAACCCCTCGCCTTCCTTCACGCCTACTTTCAAGCTTCCTAAGCTCGTGTCTGAAAATTGAATGTTGGTCTCAAAATCCCAGCCTGCGTCCGTGGCCTCAAACTCGGCCGTGATGGTCAATGCATCATCATCGAAGTAGAGCGTCTCCTCCAGTATCACGACGTAGTCATCATGTGCCATCCTGCGGCCCTGATGCAGCAATGGCAAGTCCGGCTCCTGCCCAGCCGCGTTCACCAATGAGCGGCTGAGTTTGCGGGCCAGACGGCGTCGAACGTGGTACCAAAGATCGTTGACAACAGAACCCCCGTGGCTGCGCCAACCAATCACATGCGAATCTCCGAGGCTCCGCGCTGCGGGCGACCACGGGTCTTCTGCAACCAGCCGCATCGAGCGGTCAATGCTGGTGTGGTTCAGTGGCGGCGCACCGCTGTATGCACGCGAGCGGCCCACGAGCATCTTCCCCATGGTGACAGCGAAAGGTGCGGGGCGCACCTGGCCCGACATGCTGACCGGCACCGAGATGAGGTAACCACCATTACCGTCGCTTTCGGTACTCAAGCTGGCGTTCACGGTTTTGGTCAACCTGACGGAGCGCTCCTCCATCTCCTCGTAAGTGATGCTGGCGTCAAGGCTCATCGTCGCGCTCCCCAGGACGTCGTGCAGGCTTTGCGGAAGATGGTCGGCCTCCACGTGCATGGTCAAAAGCCCTGCCTGTTCCACGGCAATGTTGGGATCCTTTAATGACGGCCAAGTCCGCACCATGGGCCCCTCGCGCTGGATCCACATACGGGGCGTCACTCCTGCGGGAAGCAGCGGGAAAAGAGGGACCTGTGGCATCCAACGTTCACCACCACCCACCCGCGCTTCGCGAAGTGTAGTACATCCTCAGTGCAGCACCCACGCAATACAAGATACACTGGCCCAAAGCGGATCTGCTACAGACAAACGCTGAAACTATGACTATCAAAGCAACTTTGGTGAGAAACAGTGCTGCTCACAACCAAAATATGCAGCATTTGGACGTTGGAAGAACACCATATGAAGAAAATCCAGTACTGCAAAAAAGTAAACTGTTGGAGGTCCACGCGGATTCCTTGGATCGGCGCTCGACCCCCCTCCTTGGCGCTCGGAGCGCGCCAGGGGAACGCTGGAGGCGCCGCCTGGGGGGGTCCCGCCGCCAATCCGAGAAGTCCGCGCGGACCTCCGAAAGTTCATGTGTACTTCATTTTGTTCATCGCTACACGTACAGAGAGCAGGAGACCCACACCCATAATAAGCACCCCGACAAGCGAAGCCGTTTAGCAAACGCACCCATAGAAGGAATCAAACAGGGCAGGACTGTTTAGTAAACGCCCAGGGCCGTCTAGTAAACGCCAATTGTCGGAGTCGGGTTGGATTCTCCTCCATTGAAGAACAGCACGCCGATTTCGGATCGGCCGGTGCAAAGTGAAAGGGCAGGGGACCGAGCTGCCTGTTTCGTGGTGGTCTCATGATGCTGATTAATTAATCGACCCACGCATCACACTACATTCGCTTGCGTGTGTACGTCGGGGAACGAAACATAGAGAGCAGAAAACCCAACCCAGAATAATGACCCCGACACGCGAATTCGTTTAGCAAACGCACTCACAGAAGAAATCGAGCAAGGCAGGGCTGTCAGTGAATGCCCAGGGCCGTTTAGCGAACGCCAATTATCAGGTCTGGGTGGCATTTCCTCCCTTGACAAAACGGCACAGACAGAAACTTCCGGAGGTCCGCGCGGATTTCATGGAGCGCGCCGGGGGCGGCGCTGGAGGCGCCTACGGGAGGCTCCAGCGCCGATCCTAGGAATCCGTGCGGACCTCCAAACACTTACACCATGTTCTGTTTCCCTGGCGCGCGTACTTTCCTGGCGCGCGTGCTGTTTTGTAGGACCGTGGCGCGTGCGTGTAGCACGCCGTCGACAGCCACCGCCTGCGCCCCTCATGGGGTCACCTTCGGGCGCGCGGGCTTGATCTCAACCTTGTTCCGCGACTGCATAGCACCAACATGAAAAGCAACTACACGAGACCTCCTCCCCCTCCTCCCCCTCCTCCTCCTCCTCCTCCTCCTCCTCCTCCTCCTCCTCCTCCTCGTCCTCCTCCTCCTCCTCCTCCTCCCCCCCCTCCTGCGCCGCAGCGCCCCGCCAGACGATCCCCAGTCCGCGCCCGCACCACCGCGGCGCCCGCGCTCGGGCCGCCCTCCCGCTGCGGCCGCGGAGGCCCCCATGGCACCACCAGAGGGCCCTGTCTCCTCGTCCTTCCCCTCGGCTGCACGCAGGAGTGGCCCTGGAGACGGTGAGGGCATTGTTTTGTTGACTCTTCGCAGGCGCGCGGGCGCCGTTGTCAAAGTCCAACATGATTGGCGCAGGAGGGGCACCCAGGGGCAAGCCACTCACGGCCCTGGCTCGCCCTCCTGGGGTCCACGGTCCCCGCGCACAGCCGCCGCGCGCTCGGCACGGTGACGCTGAGGGCATTGGACAAGGAACCCGTAAATGAGTAATCCAGGGTCTGGAAGCCAGTGGAGCTCCGATCATGGATCGGCCATGGGTATCACCGCCGCCCCCGTGAGACAAGGAACCACTCTGGGTCTGAAGCCTCATGGGCCCTTTCCTTTTACCGACACCCCCACTGTAAGAGTGACCTTTGGTGCACGGCTTCTTGGGGGCCGCGGAGGGGAGGGGCCAAGCACAAGCGCGCAAGACGCTGCTATCGCGTCGCGATCGGCGATCGGGGGGCCCCAGCGGGCCCTTACTGAAAGGTCACTCCGGCGAAGGGTGACTCTTGCGCCTAGTCATGTTGCTCCCGTCGTACTTAAGGACCACATCCCAGAAATAATTTCGAGCGCCCGGAAAAGTGTCGAAACCGTGTCGGACGAGTGTCTTCCAGGGCCCGACACGTGAAAACTATTGAGGTTCGGTACTTTTCTGGGGGGCTCGAAATTCTCTCTCGTGGTCAAGGCTAAAGTAGGTTGGGTCGATCCTCCTCCTCCTCATCCCCTGCGCGGCCGGGCGTCATACACTGTTCCCGAGAGCCAGTCCGCTCCCGCGTGGGGCTCTCCGGGGCCACCGGCAGGCGAATTGACCGACTTGCAGGAGGGAGGAGAGAGACGAGGGCGGGCGCGCGCGGGGGGGTGTCCGGGCGTTGTGCACATCCACCGCCCGGGAAGCCGGTCTTGGAGGGGCCCACAAACACACAACTAGATAGACACAAATGACAGGGTTCCCCATGTTTTCCAGTATGTTCTGCGTTTTTGTCCTCCCCCACTTCCCATAGTTTCCAATATTTTCTGGGGAATCGACGATTCATTGTGTCTGTGTTTTTTTTTCCCCCTGAGATCTCCCAGGACACCCGCGGGCGGTGGACAGTGGGCTTCTCTGGGCCCCACGGCGGCCCGGATGTGGCCAAGCCCGCCGCCTGCAGAGGCCCCGGGAGAAATAGGCTCCCCGGGCGGTGGACGCGGAGAGACCCCAGCGTCGAATCCTCTCGTCTCTTCCCCCTCTCGGCCTTCCAGAACTACAGGAAAACAGTCAACCCGTATCACAAGGGTGCGCGAGGAAGGTGCAAGGGCCCTGAACGCCCATTTCGAAGCTCTTCGAGCGAGGCGCGGCCAACGAAAGTGGCCAAGGATGGGCGGAAGGGGCACGGACGCAAAGGCACCCTTGGGAAAATTCCTCATCCTTATTATGCGGGTTGACTGTCGCCCTCCCCCTCATCCTTCCCATGGCCGCCAGACCCCAGGATGCTAGGGAAGGAGGAGGACATCGCCAACGAACCACCACAAGACCAGAGCCGCGTCCAGCTGGGCACCTTGTCCCGCCTCCCCATCCTCCCCCTCCCTCGCCTCAGGAGATGCCGCCGCCCCTGCCTCACGCCAGACTCCCACACGCCCCGAGGCCGCTGACACGGGAACCGAACCGATGGGGCCGGAGGATCGCACGGCATCGCCGAGGCACCGCGGACGTCGGGACGGAGGAGCTCGGGCTCCAGATCGCGCCGCCTCGCCCAGGATGCAGCGCCACCCTCCGACCCCGCCTCTGCTCCCTCCCCATCTTGGGCGGCCGGTCTCTGGAGGTGCAAGGAGGCCCTGCGCAGGCATCCGGAGGCCCCAAGTGGACTGGCAGAAAGCGTCCGGCAGCCCCGATTTGGGAGGCCCCTGGACGGGCCACGCCGCGCCGGATCCTGCAACTGGGAAGGACTTGATGGTGGTCCGCTGGACCTTGAAGAGCCCCAGGCCGAACAGGTCCACCGTCGAGTCGATATGGCACTCGGGCGCGGGGGCGGTGCTGCCCGCCGCGATCACCTGCACCTTCGCAGGGAAACTTATCTGCGCATGGCTGTGGTACTGGATCTCGGGCACATCTACGAACACGTCGCCGGCATGCACGCGGGCACCGCACTTGGCGCTGTGGACCACGACGCGGTGCGGTGTCCAGTCCTGGTGCTGCAGGGCCGCGTCGACGAATACCGTGGCAAAATCCGCGCTCTTCGGGGCAAGGACGTGCACGCGGTCCACGCGCATGTTGACCTTTCTTGGCGAATTCAACCGTCCCCCACCCCCCCCTTGGGAGATCTTGGCCGCGCTGGCCGATCTACCCCGCCTGTAATTAGCCCAGGATGGGCGCCGTCTCCTTCGGTTCTCGCAGCACCCATCCCCGCCCATGGGAGTACGCTGGGGGAGCTAACCTACCCGTTCCCTCTCAGGATTGCGATGGTTGAGAGAGCGCGTTTCGTGGACGCTTGCGTGGAACAAATCCCTGGACACGTCGGAACCGGGAGGGCCCTCCCCCACCCTAAAACAGTTGAAGCGCACGGAGACATGCCCTCCCCCCCCCCCCCCAGACATCGGCCTCTCTAACCACCCCCCCTCCCCACTTCCCCTCCTTTCCAAGGGTGGGGGGGGGCTCGAACCCGGGGGAAGCCCCCCACAGGGGGAAGGGTTCGGACTGGCCTCCCCCCTCCTCCTTTTGATAGAACCATATAGGCGCTCGACCAAGCTCTAGTATAATACAAGTTTAGCTGGATCGAACTGTAATAACATCCTAATCGGGCTCGATGCATGCAAGTCTGGTACAACCGCACTACAGTTGGATCCAGCTTTACTTTACTAGAATCCTACCAAGGCCTCATCCACCCCTACCAGAATCCGACCATAACTGGGCCAAGCTCAAATAACATCTCAGCCAGGCTCGGCCCACAAATGTGTTTCATATGTACGTGTGTATATCTATATATATATATATATTACAAACATACGATGGCTGGATATGGCTCCATGTGCTTCCGACCAAGGCTCGGTCCATTTCACATAGAACCCTACTATAGGTAGATCCAGCTGCAATTGGATCCTATTATGGCTCGACCCAGCTCGAAAATAATATCACGATCGCAGGACCCAACATTACTAGCATCCTGCTAAGGCTCGACCGTCGTCGTTGCCCGACGGCGCCGGGGCCGGCGCTCGCCGCCGTCGGTTGCCACTGGGAGAGGTCAGGCCCCCCCCAAGGTTAACCCCCCCCCTCACGAAACTCAGCCCCCCTCTCCACCCCAGGGTCGAGACCCCCTCCCCCTTGAGGCCCCCCACCGTAAGTGCAGTATCTTTGTCTAGGTGTTTTGTGTGCTTTCATGTTTTCTTTTGTTTGCCTCCCTCTCTATTGTTGTTCTCTCTCTCTCTCTCTTTCTGTCGTTCTCTCTTTCTCTCCTTTCTATTTATATCCCTATATTTCCGTTTCTCCATCTCCGACAACTTCCACTGGATTCGAATGTATTTCTGCTCGTATTCTAATGCAAATTGAATGAAGCGCGCATCCAAGGGAATTCCGCATCCACCAGGTTCCTTTGCAAAAAATCTTGACCACTAAATCGATTACAATGGGATTCCAGACACAAAGGGCTTTAATGTAATCGAAATACCCTGGCGGTATACCCAACCCACCCCTTGCAGATCTCATGGAAGGTGATCACCAGGCAAAGAATTCAATTTCTGCGAATGTGACTAGGGAGGCTCGCGAGCTGCGCGACTCGAAGAACACCGATCGATGGATAAAGGCTCGATGAAGGTACTTAGTTATCCCACTGACTTGAAGGTAACGAGGGCCGAAGACTAAGAGGAGAAGGCGGACAACGATCTGGAACCATTCAGCGGGGCAGTAGCAAGAGGTAACGGCAACAGGAAGGAAGGAAGTGACGACGAGAGAAAGGCAATGGAAGGAAAGAGATTACGTTTCAAGGCACGCCACCAATCAGTGATAGTCACTGCAATAACGGCGCGAGGCCGAACTGCTCTGCCAGCTGCTGGGCCTCTGCCCGGCATTCTCGGGATGGAATGGCACGCAGGCGCGCCGCGTGGCCTGATCTGAGTCTGCAAAGGACGCCGCTATAATGGACCCGCCAGCAGCCTTCGAAAGTGGGGACAGTTTCGCAGATCGCATCGCAGCCTCCCAAGGGACGGCGAGGTCGAATCGGAGTCTGCGTAGGACGTCAGTCCACTGGACCCCCTGGCAGCCCTCGAAAGTAGCAACAGTTTCGCAGATCGCAGCCCCCCAAGGATGGCAAGATCTAGTGCGAGTACGCGTAGGACGTCACTATGCAGCTCTTGGACGTGGCAACTTTCGCAGATCGCAGCCCCACAGGGATGGCGAGGTAGAATTTCGGTCCGCGTGTGGCGTCACTGCGCTGCCCACCCCCTCACATCCCCCAGCAGCCCTCGAAAAAGGCGGCAGTTTCGAAGATCGCAGCCCCCCAGGGATGGCGAGGTGGCGACAATTTCAAAGATCGCAGCCTCCCGAGGATGGCGAGGTCTAATCTGAGTACGGGTATGGCGACAATGTGCTGGCCCCCCAGCAGCTTTCGAAAGCGGCGACAGTTTCGCAGATCCCAGGGATGGCGAGGTCAAATACAAGTCTGGGCATGGCAGCGCTGTGCCCCCCCCCCCCCCCCACACCCCACACCTCCCCGGCAGCCCTCGAAAGTGGTGACAATTTCGCAGATCGCAACTTTCCAGGGATGGCGAGGTCTCATCTGACACTAGGCGTGGCGACGCTGTGCTCCCCCCTCCCACCCGAGCAGCCCCGTGAGCGGCGACGGTTGCGCGAATCGCAGCCCCCCAGAAATGGCGAAGTCGAATCTGAATCCGCGAATGGCGACACTGTGCTGGCACCCCTAGCAGGGGCGATAGTTCGCAGATCGCAGCCCCCCAAGGAGGGCGAGGTCGAATCTGAGCCCGCGTATGACGACGCCACTGTGCTGCCATCCCCAGCAGCCGTCGAAAGTGGCAAAAGCTTCGCAGATCGCAGCACCCCAGGGATGGCGAGATCTAATGTGAGCCCGCGCGTGGCGTCACTGTGCTGCCCCACCCCCAGCAGCCCTCGCAAGTGGGGACGGTTTCGCAGATCGCAGCCCCCCAGGGATGGCGAGGTCGAATGTATGCCTGCGCATGGTGTCACTGCGCTGCCCCAGCAGCCCTCGAAAGTGGCGACGGCTTCGCAGGTCGTAGCCTCCCAAGGATGGCGAGGTCCAACCTGGATCCACGCATGGTGTCACTATGCTGGCCCTACACAGCAACCCCCGAAGCCGGCGACAATTCTGCACATCCCCCCCCCCTTGGGATGGCGAGGCCTGGTGTATGTCCGCGTATGGCGTATGGCGTCGCTGCGCTGGCACCCCCAGCAGCTCTCGAAAGCGGCAGCAGACTCGTTGGTCGCAGCCCCCCACCCCCCCGGGATGGCGAGGCGAAATTTAGTTCAGCGCGTGGCGTCACTGTGCCCCCCCACCCAAGCAGCCATCGAACGCGGCGGCGCTGTCGCAGGTCGCAGCCCCCCAAGGACGGCGAGGTCTAATCCGAATCCGCGAGCGGCATCATTGTGCATTGTGCTGCCCCCCCCCCGCCCCCACAGCCATCGAAAGTGGCGATTGTTTTGCAGATCGCATACCCCGGGATGGCGAGCTCCATTTCAGGTCAGCGCATGGCATCGCTTTGCTGGCCCATCCGGCTGCCCTCGAAAGTGTCGACGGCTCCGCAGGTCGTTTCCTCCCAGTGATGGCGAGGTATGCCTTATGGTTGCGCATGGCGTCACTGCGTTGGACCCCCCCACGCAGCCTCCGAACGTGGGGACAGTTTGGCAAATCGCAGCCCCCCAGGGATGGTGATGTGTAGTTTAGCTCAGCGCATTGGCGTCACTGTGCCCCCCCAAGCAGCCATCGAACGTGGCGGCGTTGTCGCAGGTCGCAGCCCCCCAAGGACGGCGGTGTCTAATCAAAATCCGCGAGCGGCGTCATTGTGCTGCCCCCCCGCCCCCGCAGCTATCGAAACTGGCGAGTGTTTCGCAATTCGCAGC